AGAAGGTTTTAAAAGTTGAAAAAAAAATTCCAAAACATAAAAAAAAAAAAGGAGCTACCGCCAGAAAAAAAAAGACAGGGCTGAAGAAAAAAAAAACAGTAGCCAGTTTAAAAAAAAAACATAGCACAAACATAAAAAAAAACAGGCAGAGGAAACAAAAAAAAATCACACATGGAAATAAAAAAAAAACCCTCTAAGTCCCAAAAAAAAAACACTGCTGCAGTGAAAAAAAAAGAGGACTGGAATGGAAAAAAAAACTGCAAAACAAAAAAAAAAAAAATGAGCCACCTACTCAAAAAAAAAACTGGTCTAACTCAAAAAAAAAACAAAACGAGTAAGAAAAAAAAAACGGCATCTAAAAATAAAAAAAAATTGCAACTGACTCAAAAAAAAAACTTTCTTCGACTACAAAAAAAAATGGTTCCAAATGATAAAAAAAAACAAAGAGGCTCTTAAAAAAAAAATCTACTTTGATTTCAAAAAAAAAATCTAAAAGGTAATAAAAAAAAATGGCTACCTATAGGAAAAAAAAACAACTGATATATCAAAAAAAAAATTTTTTTTTTTTTTAAAAAAAAAAGTCTCATTCTGTCAAAAAAAAAAGAGGGCATTGGTGAAAAAAAAACTCACTGCAACCTCAAAAAAAAAGGTTCAAGTGATTCAAAAAAAAAAGCCTCCGGTGTAGAAAAAAAAATAGGTATGCGCCACAAAAAAAAAGTAATTTTTGTCTTAAAAAAAAAGACAGGGTTTCACCAAAAAAAAAAGGCTGGTCTCGAAAAAAAAAAATCAGGTGATCCACCAAAAAAAAACTCCCAAAGTGCTGAAAAAAAAAGCGTGACCCACCGCAAAAAAAAAACCAACTGATATATAAAAAAAAAAGCACAGTATTTAAAAAAAAAAATTAAAATACTGATAAAAAAAAAAAATCCAGGTTAAGCAAAAAAAAACAGCTAAAAACGCCAAAAAAAAAAGCTACTGAGCCCTAAAAAAAAATGGTTTCCTAATGGAAAAAAAAAAGAATTTCAAACATAAAAAAAAAACATCTATCCAATCAAAAAAAAATATATAAAGAACAAAAAAAAAAAAAAAAAAAAAAAAAAAAAAAAAAAACCTTTCACAGAAAAAAAAAAACTGAAAACACAGTAAAAAAAAAAAGCACAGGTACAGGAAAAAAAAAACGCAATGACTGATAAAAAAAAATTTCCACAGGCAGTAAAAAAAAAAATTCACCTTGATCAAAAAAAAAAACTATGTGGTTTGAAAAAAAAATTCGGATGGTTTTAAAAAAAAAATTGCATAGATTCCCAAAAAAAAATAAAAAAGTAGCTTAAAAAAAAACACCTGGGTTTGTTAAAAAAAAAGGAAGCCAGCACAGAAAAAAAAATATAAACTATTGATAAAAAAAAACTGGAGATGGATAAAAAAAAAAATCTTCAAAAACCATAAAAAAAAACAATGAACCAAGATAAAAAAAAAACATGCAATGAGAGAAAAAAAAAGGAAAACCCTGAATAAAAAAAAACCGGCTTCTTGGGCAAAAAAAAATATGGGAGGAAGAGAAAAAAAAAATTGTTCCCTTTCTAAAAAAAAAAAATCTTTCAAGCAAAAAAAAAACTGCCCATCCTTTGAAAAAAAAATGGAAATATAGGAGAAAAAAAAAGAGAGGAGAAGTTTAAAAAAAAAGTATGCAACAAAAGAAAAAAAAAGATACCAGTAGCAAAAAAAAAAATAAGAAGTCACTCGAAAAAAAAAATTGAGGACAGAAGAAAAAAAAAAGATAGGAAATGACAAAAAAAAATGACGCTGGGTACAAAAAAAAAAGATGAGCAAAACACAAAAAAAAATTCTCCAGCAACATAAAAAAAAATCAAAGTTTAAATGAAAAAAAAATCCTATCTGATGTCAAAAAAAAACTTCATTCCTGAGAAAAAAAAAAGACTTATGCTTGAAAAAAAAAAAAAGGTCGTATACTCAAAAAAAAAAATTCACTTCTTCAAAAAAAAAAAAAATTCACCCTCCAAAAAAAAAGGTGGGAGGCACACAAAAAAAAATTAAATTAAAGTCAAAAAAAAAATGACTGACCACAGTAAAAAAAAACCACATGATGGCAAAAAAAAAAAGAATGAAGAACTTCAAAAAAAAACATAACAGTTCTGAAAAAAAAAATCCTGCTAAAGAGAAAAAAAAAAAAAAGATTTCTTTTAAAAAAAAATTAGACCAGTTACTAAAAAAAAAAGAAATATTGAATGAAAAAAAAAGCATTACAAGCACAAAAAAAAAAAGAAATTTCCCCTTAAAAAAAAAAGTCATAACCAACTAAAAAAAAAAATTACTCTTTATTAAAAAAAAAAATCCAAATCCAAAAAAAAAAAACCCAATACTTTCCTAAAAAAAAACCCAAAGGGTGGGGAAAAAAAAAAAATGATCAGAGTTAAAAAAAAATTCTAAGCTGCTAAAAAAAAAAAAAGGTGCTAACAAAAAAAAAAAAACATTCCAAAAAGTAAAAAAAAAAGAGGAGAAGAAATAAAAAAAAACCACACCTTTCAACAAAAAAAAAATTTAAAGATTGATAAAAAAAAAAATGATTAACAAGTAAAAAAAAAACCCTTCTCCCAGCAAAAAAAAACCTTAAGTGACATTAAAAAAAAATTAGAATCCCAAATAAAAAAAAATGTTCATGAGAGCTAAAAAAAAAATTGCTACACACCAAAAAAAAAAAAATATCCTGAATAAAAAAAAAAAATGAACACTTCCCAAAAAAAAACAAGAAGCTGCTCAAAAAAAAAAAGACATCCTTAAATAAAAAAAAATGAAATATTAACTAAAAAAAAAAAAAAGACAAGAAGGAAAAAAAAATCCTCCCAGGTGTCAAAAAAAAAGGCAGAGAGCACCTAAAAAAAAAATGGTTAAAAAATAAAAAAAAAAATTATGAAACAAAAAAAAAAAAATATATAACTTTGATAAAAAAAAATCCTGCACAAATAAAAAAAAAAAATAAA